CTCCCAAGCTAGAGCTGTGGCTATCACATAATAAAGAAGACCCACGTGAATCCACCTTGGGACTGAATTGGCACTGTGAGTCGGACCACCTAGGATTTAAGCATAGACCCGTTACTTACAGTGCTCTGACGATGCGGAACATATATCGTGTGTTAGCAAGTCAGTATGACCCCCTTGGTGTCATTCTTCCTTTCACCACACGAGCCAAGGTGATTGTTCAACAGCTCTGGATTAAGAACAGGAACTGGGATGATCCACAACTTCCTGATGATCTTCAGCAGGCATGGAAGGTGTGGGAAGCTGAGCTTCAGTACTTACCTCTTGTAGTACTCCCTAGGTGCTACCTTCCATCCAGCATGGACAACTCAGAGGTCACTCGGGAAATCCATATCTTCACCGATGCTTCTGAGAAGGCTTATGGGGCAGTCGCTTACCTTCGCGCAGAAGATTCATGCGGGAAGGTACACATTTCATTCCTCATGGCCCGATCACGTGTTGCCCCACGTAAGCAGTGCTCAATTCCTAGACTGGAGCTGTGTGGTGCTCTAATAGGAGCGCAGTTGGCCAAGCTGGCTGAAAATGAGCTCACCTTGAAGATCCAGAAGGTCACTTTCTGGACAGATTCAACAACTGTCCTCCACTGGTTACATTCCGAATCCTGCCGCTTCAAGGTGTTTGTGGGCACTAGGGTGGCAGAGATTCAAGAATTGACGGACCTTAAAGGGTGGAATTACATTGACTCTGTCAGGAACCCTGCAGATGATCTTACCCGTGGGAAGAGCCTGAAGGACCTTATTGAACCCAATCGGTGGACCCAAGGGCCAGAATTCCTCCTCCAACCTCAGAGTACTTGGCCAGCACCACCAGTTATGCGCAGCTTAGTGCCTGATGACGCTATGGAATTAAAGCGAAGTGCCTTCTGTGGCGTGATTAACTCAGCACCAGTGACAGCAGATGGTAGTAAGTTTAATAGCTGGAAAGACTTGGTCGAAGCAGTAGCACAGGAGTTGCATGGGGCGGCAGAACAAAGTGGCCCCCCTCCAGTCAGTGCTTACCAGAAGGCAGAACTGACCGCGCTGAGACAGGTCCAGTTGGATAGTTTTCATGAAGACTACCATCTGTTGAAAAATGGTAAGCCTGTTCGTTCTAGCAGCCGCTTACTTTGTCTCTCCCCAGAGTTTGACAGAACCAGTGAGGTAATACGGGTTGGAGGACGATTAAGGCGGGTGGAAGGATTAGACCCAAGCACAGTACACCCTATCGTGTTGGATTCCAGTCACCCTAACACTCAGCTACTCATAAAGGAATATGATGCTCGCCTTTGCCATCCAGGACCGGAGCGAGTGTTTGCGGAGCTCCGTCGAAATGAGTGGATACTGAAAGGGAGAGAGGCAGTGAGAAAGCACCAGCGAACATGTCTTGAATGCTGTAAATGGAGGTCGAAGCCAGCCTCCCAGAAAATGGTTGATCTCCCTCCACCACGACTTCGGTTGTTCAAGCCTGCTTTTCATTCAACCGGAATTGACTGCTTTGGGCCTCTTCTGGTCAAAATAGGTCGTCGGACGGAGAAGCGGTGGGGACTTTTATTTAAGTGCTTGACCACCAGGGCAGTGCACCTTGAGGTGCTGACATCTATAGATAGTAATGCCTTTCTCATGGCACTACGTCGATTTATAGGTCGCCGTGGGAAACCTGCAGAGCTATATTCGGACCAAGGCACCAACTTTCGAGGTGGTGAGAGAGAGCTTAAAGAAGCCTTCAGTCAGCTCAGTGGTGATCTGCAACAGCAGCTAGCGAAGCAACAAATTAGCTTTCATTTCAATCCTCCAGCTGCCCCACACTTTGGAGGGGTGTGGGAACGCGAGATTCGTTCAGTAAAGGCCGCACTTTATACAACCCTGGGCTCAGAATCAGTAACTGAAGAAGTGCTTCGAACTGTCCTCATAGAGATTGAGGCCATCCTCAACTCCAAACCTCTTACAAACCTCCGATCACCCCAAACTGTTTTCTAATGGGGCGGCCAGATGGGTCCCTACCCCAAGTCATCTATCCAGTGTCTGAGCTCCTAGGAAGACGGAGATGGAGGCATTCACAAGTATTGTCTAACAGATTCTGGACGGCCTTCATAAAGTATTACTTACCTGACATGCAGGCCAGGGGAAAGTGGCAGAATCCATCAGTAAACATTAAACCCGGAACAATCGTCATGCTTGTTGACCCTCAGTTACCCCGTTCATTCTGGCAGATCGGAAGAGTATCTAATGTCTTTCCTGGGGCTGATAATCGGGTTCGAACGGTCGAGGTGCAGATTAAGGACAAAGTTTACACAAGACCCATCTCTCGACTGATTGTTCTTCCAGAGATCCGAGATGAAGGGGATGAAAGCCACACTAGTGACTAATGGTAGTCCATATAGTGTCGGCCTTTCAATGGAGCAAATTTGTAACCAAATTTGGGGGCGGCTGTGTTGGAAAGGCCGAGTCATGTGCGCATGCGCTACTTACTTTCAGTCATCATCAGCACAGAGCGGGACTGTATGAGCGGTAGGGCTGCAACGATTAGTCGACGTTGTCGACAACGTCGACAATAAAAATTTGTCGACAAATATCTTTGTTGTCGAGTAGTCGTTTGATCTCACGTGACCTAATGTAAGGGCCTGCAATCCCGCGATTTGAACGCTACGGCGCTGTAGTGCTAGAGTGTAGTGCAGCCCTTACAAATGCTATTGCGGTAGAAGAGAAAACAGCGCGAATTATGACAGTGCAAACGAATCCGAACTAGCAAGGTTTAGGTTTGGGAAAGTTTCACAAAACTTCAAATCAAGAATGCTGTCGTGTGCAATGTTGGGGTGCAAGAGGAAACATCCCGGCAAAAGAGGAGCCGGTGAGAAGTGAGTGTTCTCCAGCTGGAGCTAACTAACCACCAGCGGCAAATCTCTCTTTATTAGAGAATGCAATACTACTAATAATAGTAATAATATTATCAATAGTAATATAATTACAGTAATGTGATGACTTATTTTGTATAGAATAAAGCTTGATCGAGCTTAGGAGTCAGGGCTGTTTTTATTATTGTAACACTATTAGTATATCAGGTATTATTATAGTCTTATCACTTGCCTGTATTTTGTTCAATAATCTATGATATGAAACCTATGATATAGGAAGAATATCACGGCAGTCACTTTATCATACTATAAATTAAAAGGGAATGAGAACGTCTCTGTCAGCTCAATTGTCATGTAAAAAAAGATTGTAATTTTATAATTATAATAATTGTTTGCAGATTAATATTTTACCATTCTTTGTGTCCTGAAGTAAATGTCCCTTTTTCTGTTTCAGTTCTAAGAAAAGCAGTGGGCCTATTAAACAATGCTTAGAGAGCATTTGTGTGTGATTTGAGTTGGACCGAAATCTGAAAACTTAAAGAGAATGACCTGTTTAGTTGGCTCAAAGTTCATTAAAACAACTATTTCAAAAGCTGAAGTGATTTTCTTTTTTTATATTATAGTTAGAATATGTATAACTCAATGTTTTAACTAATTGGAAAAGCTGAATAATCGTTCCAAACTTACTGATTAGTCTGCGAAATAATCGACGATTAGTCGATTAATCGTTCTAATAATCGTTAGATTAATCGATTATCAAAATAATCGTTTGTTGCAGCCCTAATGAGCGGGACTGTACAAGCAAGACTGTGTGTGCGAAGTGCGTCAATAAATATATGTAAGTTGACTGTTTACCTAGTTTGGTTATCAATACTTGTTAAGGAGCTGTAAAGCCTTGATGTCATACTTTCATAAAGTGATGCATGTTTAAGAGAGATGAATCCGTTAATCGCGTGAGGTTAAGGGCTCGTGAATGTGCCGTTTATGTTCGATATTACTGGCAATTTATAATATTGAGATTGCACCTATTGTTTGATTGTGCATATGTATATGTGATCGTTACATTAGTATTTGAAACTCTTGTTATTTCAAGTTTAATGACGCGATCTTTATGATTATGTGCCGTTCATTTAAATTACCTCAGATTTGGTTTCGGTTTTGAATGTTATGCCATTTCTGACCACCTGGTGGCGGTGTTGCATATTTTCGTTGCTTGTATTTTGATTTCTTTATTTTAATATAGAATCGAACCTGATAATTCTTTATTTGAAGAATGTAGATTTGGAAGTAATGTTTGTATAATAATATTAGAGACATTTGTTAATATATATACCTTTATTTCTTTCCCTTTGTAGACCACAAACACACACAGATAAATACTTTGAGCAACCTATGTACTGCTGTTTTGTGCATGGCCAAAACTGTCAACAATAAACCTCCTTTGCATGGAACTGATTGAATCCAGTGTGTTCTGATCGACACCCCATTGAGGAAAGCTAGAAATTACAAATCATCACCTATTACAGTCCAATCCTCCTATCGAACAGTTGGTGTGTGTGTGTGTGTGTGTGTGTGTGTGTGTGTAACAGTCTGAGTGAAAATATATGGCTCTAAATGCCTGTGATTTATTGAACCGTTTGTGGAGTCAAAGAGGCAAAAAATGACTCACTTTAATCAATAGTTCCACATTTAAAAAATAAGTCCGTGACGTTTTGGAAGAGGGCGGGGCAGGGAGTGTCTGTGGGACGCACACATTTCCGACAGCCCTGTTGAAAATGACGGAGGAGTCATTCAGGGTTAGCATGTCTGATTCATTTAACCAACTCGGTTCTTTTCCTTTGAACTGTTTCAAAACGGCTCTTTTGAGTCATCCCTCATGCGGATTGCGGAAGTTGCTTTCTTTTTATGCATGAATATAGGCCGTTAAATATAGTGTGCAAATTATTATTTGACTTACATAAGCCGTGAGCCTTTAAAAGGACTTTTTATGTCAGGTAATTTTCACAGTAGGCCCATTGAACAACAAACGCTTCGAGAATCGGCTCAATCGAATCATTAAAAAGAATCGGCTCAAAAGAGGGATTCATTTGGAAACTGTACATCACCACATCTTCGAGTTTTCCTCTCTTTGCACAGTCAGTCTCACCATCCTTGATCCTGCATCTGCTCGCGTCTCCACTCATTCACCGGTCAAAAAAAGGTGGGTTTATACTGGTTTGACAATTCGCAACGCATGCATAGCTACTTTGCAATGTTTGTTTGTGTAGTATGTTAAAGATAAAGAAGTATCATGTTTATCGGTACTCTCAGTAGGACTCTGCTTTGTCCCTCCGTCCCAGCTCTGATGCCACGTCAGTGGTGAAAATTATAACGGGTTTGAACTCCACCGTGATATTTGGGTGTATTTTTATTTTTAAAACTTCGTTTGACAGTGTAAGTTGTGTTTTAAACCTCTTTTCAAGAATGTGGTCCGCAGATGAAACCCATGTTCAAAGCACTTCAGCAGCTGGAGGAAGGTGTGGCTGAGTTAGAATAATATAAAGTATCACTCTTAAATTTACTATTCTAAAATACGTTAATGGTTTGAATTATGAGAAGCTTTTATTTAATGTCTCCAGTATAAGCTGGAGAGTTTCCATCAGAGTTTGTGGCTCTTTCCTACTTTCCTAGCCAATAAAACCACAAGAGAACATGATGTTCTGATGTCTAAAACTTGTTAACCCATGCTGGTCCCCAATTTTAGCATTATAGTTCAAGACTTCTATCCTACTGTTTTTAAATGTTTTTTGTATGCTATGAAAGTTACAAAAATGTTCATATGTAATGCACAAGTTTCAACGAGTAGTCATGATACTTGTTAATCTTAGTTATTCAGTTGATTTTTGATGTGCATTTATAATTCCACTGGTTGATGCTTAACAAAGGTATGCAAAACACCCTGACCCCATGCATACGTAGTGCATCCACATTTTGACCAACCATTCTTGATTTAGTTGGAAAGAATTTTTTTTATCATGTAATTCATGTTATTCCAGCTAAAGCCACTTCCTGTGGCCCATTTGTTTGAGCTCTTTTCAAAAGATTGTTGATTAATACTAATCGCTTCGTAAACTGGTGTTGAAATCTCTCCAGTCTATTTTGTGGTGCGAGAGACCATCATAAAAATAATTGTTTGTGTGAGCTTGCTTTAATAACTGTGATGTATCCCTCTATTGCAAAGGGGGCAGAATGGGAGCGAAGCTCAGTCGGAAGAAGAGTGAAGTAGGGATAGGAGCAGACACAACAGCTCCAGCTGTAGAGGAGTCTGCAACACCAGAGGACTCCACTGTGACTGAGAATGCAGAGCAGAAATGTGAGGTTCCAGAGGGCAAGACTGCCTCTTCAACCAGTGTTCTGCAGACCATTACACAAGCAGTTGAAGAAACGGTCGATGCAGTCACTGAACAGATTTCTGCACCGGTGGAAGATGTTGTAAACAAAGGTATTGAAGCAGTGGAGTCCGCATTGGCATCCGTCAGCCTGATTGGGAAAGAACCTGCCGCTCCAGAGCAGAAGTCTGAACCTGATCTTGATGCTTCTGATGTTCTTCAAGAACCCAGTCTCTTGGATGACCTGCTGAAATCTCCAATCTCTGAAGCCCTCATTACTGGAGTCACAATGGCAAGTGAAGCCATAACCAGCGAGATGATGGAAGACAAAATTAGTAGTCCTGCACCAGCTGAGAACAAGGATTTGTTGGAATGTCTGGATAAGGTGGAGACGCCCTCATTGGACCTCCTGGATTGTAAACTGACCCATGAATCCACAATCCCTACCTCGGATCCTTCATTCACTTTGGAAGATATGGGACAGAACGCAGTTGACAATGTCAACATTATATAAATCACTACCCTCACCTGTAAAAAACAGTAGCAGCTGGATGGTCATTAGGTGCAAGTATGTCAGAACAATATTCAAGAAATTAATGAACAATTAATTATTTTTTTTTCACGAGGAGGATGTAGTCATAAAATAGGGTTGCGTGTCATTCAGAATTGAACTAGGATAGCAATTTGATTCGAAACTAGTAAGAAGTGTAAATTAATTAACTTTTTTAAGCAGAAAAAGAAAATCCAAGTTGGCTAGACAAATCTGTATTTGAATGTTTGGACAAAAGTTTAAAAAGCCTTGATTTTGAAGGTTTATAGACAGATGATAAAGTCAATTCTTAAATTCTGAATTTTGCACAACCCTGTCATGAAAAAGTTGAAAGTATGAGCCCTCTAAATAAGGAAACGAGCCACCTCAGCTGTCTAACAAACATTACTAATGTTATGCCTACCGATTCATTGACAAGCAGCAAACCAGCCATCTGATATTTTTTTCTTCTATATTCTTCCAGGCTCTTGGCAATTGTGTATGAAACGTGCAGCCAATCTCCCATAGAAGAGGAAAAGAATGTACATTAAAACAATGATTGTAGTAAAGGAAAATAAAGACTGCAACACATTACAAAAACGTTCTTTCCTTGATCTGTATTTTATACTAGAAATGCATTTTAATCAAATGTGTGGTATGTATTTATCTCTTCAAACATCTGAAGAAAACATCAAGATGAGTGCAGTCTGTGAAAATAAATTGACACAACATTACCGCAGTGCTGAAATGTGTTAGAAATAATTTGGAGTACAGACCAAACTCAACATAGTATTGTATGAACTATCCCAAAACACAGGAGTTTCCCAGGAATTTTCTGGGAAGATAACATGCACTATCTCTCTTTTACGTACATCTTAAGTTTTCTCAGAGAAGCTTCTGGGGAGAGGGGCAACATTCTTTCCAGAGAAAAGGGGTCTCATGGGAGGTGTTTTTTTTTTTTTTTAGGTTAACTTTCTGGCTCTTGTCCTAAGAAACTTTGGATTTATATAAATAAACATCCTTCCACTGAATTTTCTGTACTTAGTGTGTAACAAAGTTTTTAATGAAATATTAAGCTGCTTTTGCTTGCTGGCCTGGAATCTCAAGGAAATGCCATGCCTCATTATCCTTGTATAACAGAGCTTTGTGTACTTCAACCATAAGAGGAATGAATACAGATGACATGGACACTGGGGAATCAACAGTTGCACAATGTAAACTTTATACAAATATGTGCCTGCCATGCAAATCAAGTGGATTTGACTGAAAACAAATAAACAGGTAACTGTTACCCTAAGGGAAAATACAACTTTATAAGAAACAAAATCTTTTCTTCTTTTTCCATATCTCTTTAGTACAAACAATGTTATTTTCTAACACATCACCTTGTTATATAGCAAAATAAGGGCAATTCTAAACAATTCAAAAACATCCAATATATTACTCTATTAAATAAGACAGAACGTAAATAGTGAAAAATCGTTATAGATTAGATGGCAGAAAATTTGTCCATTTTGAGATTATCTGGTGATGTTTTTATCCATCTCCTGCACCAGACAGATCTACACCCTGTGTTTTGGCTTTCTGTCAGTAAAAGAGAGAGAGAGAGAGAGAAAAATTAGGATTTTGAAAGAGCATTACTGGGGAAATGAAACAGGAAGCAAGAAAACGATATGTGCACTTCTTTTCACAATATAAAAGCTATAACTCCATAGCCCTGAAGGTAACAACAGTGAAATAAAATTTCATCTGATGTATTTAGCATATTTATTTCACACAAGGTTATGTGAACGTTATGTGTACAACTGTACGTGCAATGTGTACCATTATGATTTTCATCCTGTTGGATTTTTTTAATTAAAGTCATGCTAAAATGAATACAGTACAACAGATAATACAATATATTATTTACATTGTATTTTTTTTTTTTGCATTACAGTAATAAGAATGAGGATTTTCTTTTGCATTGCACTAAAGAAAATTAGGAATGCCACAAGGCAAAACATTGTAATCGTCCTAAAAGGCTTCTTTATGCACAATATACCAATTTTTTAAGTGAAAATATTAAGTGAACGTTCTTGACTTTGTTAAATTTATATTGTAAGTTTCAGTATTCAGAAAACATATCTTCACTATTGGTCATGTCATGCCTGCATGTGTTGGTACTTCTTGGCCAGGCCTACATTGGTGCGACTGGGCTGGAAGGGATACGTCCAGAGGATGGAGTTCCAGGAGTGGCCAAACCTTTTCACACCCATTTTGAGATAGCGCAACTCATCAGCAGACCAGTTCTGCCTCTCTCGGTGTCTGCCTGAAGACTAAACGAGAAAACAATTACAAATTATGGAATAAATGTGGACTAAAAGATGATTATGCATATGAGTGCAAAAATATGAACATTGCCTGTTCATACTGTAACTGCTTAGTAAATTAATCTTTGAATTGTTTCAGAGAAAGAGCAAGTTATTGCATTTTACATTTGTATTTTCTGATTCTGCTCAGAATATTATAAACGAAAATAAAACTGTACAATGCATGACTGCCTGAACATCTAAAACGCCATAGGATGTTCCAGGTTCAATGCAGGTTTAGTTAGTGTGAAATCATGGTATTATCCTTTCACCTAAAACTAACAGTACCATACATTTTTTGGGAGCCAGTATTCTGAGGTTTTCTTCTTATGTATGTGATGCATGTTCTTTTCCATTTCTGGGCCTGAGAGAAAACAAAAAGAGAATAATAATTATTTGGAATTAAAGAACCAAAGCATTCAAAATGTGTCTATGCTGGCAACAGCAATACTAATGGTAGGACTTGGACAGGGCAGCAGGGAGGAGTATTGATCTTTAGAATGATTTAGTGGGCAGACTGTGAAACTGCACACACAGTACTAAACCCTGTACTAGTAACCTAAAGAACAAATACACACCATTCTTTAGCAGGACTATGGCAGGGTTTTTTTTCTTTCAGCATGAAAGACATTCATTCCACCAACTCTTGAGAAGACCAAAACACTTTGTGTGTATGTGCATGTATGGATGTGAACGTGTGCATTGGCAGACTGGAACACACTGACCTAAAGTGAAACAGTGTGTGAAAATCCTGTAAGTGCAACTGAGTGTGTGCTTGTGTCTGGTCATATCCTCAGTCCTAATGACTTTGTTCTGTGGTACAAAACAGACTAGTCTCCATAGTAACAGCTCAATAACTAGAGCTCAGAACCCCCAGGGACCCATAATCTAGTTACCCATCTTACCTACACAATATGCTCCAACTATCTGTCTTTCTCTCTCTCTCTCTCTCTCTCTCTCTCTCTCTCTCTCTCTCTCTCTCTCTCTCTCTCTCTCTCTCTCTCTCTCTCTCTCTCTCTCTCTCTCTCTCTCTCTCTCTCTCTCTCTCTCTCTCTCTCTCTCTCTCTCTCCCACACACACACACACACGCACGCACAAATACTCCTTTGTCTAAATCTTAGACAAACGTATCATTTACTTGTTCCATTCAGGTATCAAGACTATAAATTAATAAAATGCAATTTTAAAATAATAATAATACAATATCATTATATTTGACATATGTAAGAATATGTATGAATTTTCATGTATTAATCACTTTTTCTATTACCAGTGTGAGCAACTTGTAACGAATGCTAAAAAAACAAGACTTTCCCCGACTTCCTAGGTTGCCTTAGCCTGGGAAAACCCAGACAACTTCCGGCAAATTTAGATTTAGGCAAATTTAGGCAAAAAGCTCATGGTGCGTTCTATTATTTATCCGTGTCGGAGTTCCGACTAGGAAGACAGACGTTGCCTAGCAACACGCACCAACACGCCCCCTTTCCTCGGATTTTCCCGCTCGGATTTCGGACAACCGTGAGGACACCGAGCAAGAATTCTGATACGGAATCCAAGATGGCTGCGCCCTGTGTGACTTAGTATGAATTGTTTTCATTGTTTTTGGACCGCTTTGGTTGTTTAAATGAAGTTTTTAATCACTCGTATTACTGCAATACCTTACTGCGTCCGTATCACTGCCTGTGGGTATGGGAATCGGTCTTGTTGTGAGTGCAATATTGAATGAAGCCTTGTTTCAAATGGGTGTTACTAACGTGGCTAGCGTTGCTAACAGAAGATAAATTAAAACATGAAATAAAGTGAAAATTTTAGAAGTTCAAATGGCTGAGTTTTGATAAGCGCCTGGTACTCGGCCAGTGCTACCATAGCAAAAGCTTTCCGGGTGGCGTCCATGTTTTTTCTCCGACTCGGACGCACAAAACATACCAGAAAGCTTGAAGTGTGGAAATGGCGTCATATCCGAGGGCCTAGTCGGTTCGTTGACAATAATAGAACGCATCATCATTCAAGCCCATTTCTAATCCGTCGAAATCGCGGTACCAATCAGAAACGTTGGGGCGGGCTTTACACGATGACGACAGCACAGCGACGATGAAGCAGATTTTGTACATTTACAAAGATGGATGCCGCCGTGGAACTAGGGGTGTGACGGTTATAGTTGAACACCGTCATTAAGACCTCTAACCGCCAAAACCATGTTATAAAAAAAAAAAATTCACAAACATTTTTTATCATAGAGAATGTTTAAATACTAATATCAGCTTAGGAGGGAAACGGAGGCGGAGTTAGTGGTGCTTCGGAGGCTGCTACTGCTGGAGATGATTCGGGAGAGGTCTGCGCACCTTTACCGATCAGAGCGCGTGCTGACACGGACACGCCTTGTTTATACTCGACGCGCCCGCACGAGCCCGAAGGTGCGCGCGGCAAAAATGACGTGTTCTGTGCGCAAGACGGACCCCATTTTGCTAGGCTGTGTGCACTGCCTTTTTTGTAACAGCGCGCGCGGCGCCGCGTCCGAGGATGAACGACTTCAAGCCGAATCTGCCCGAGCATGTACGTCTCACCGCACCGGCACGCAGTTTGAATTGCCACGTACCGGCACCGGCACGTCTAAATTTCTAAGTTCATTGCAAAGTTTTTTTTGTAAAGGTTTTGTTTACTGTGTGTGATTTATTTAATGGAAAACACATTCAGTTCTAGTTGTCTTGCTGTTGATTTTAAATAAACGTAGAGCAAGTAGCTAATCAGTGTCTGCTCGTTTATTCAAACTAAGGGCCGTTACATAGTCAACGCGAGCAAGGAACGCGAGCTACACGCTCCTTTTCATAGTACGCAAGCAGATGCAAGCGTCACCGGCGATGCGTGAAATGCAATACACCGATCGCGCAACAGGGGGTAGTAGAGTCTAGAGTCGGGTCATGTACATTACTTGCAATGTCGCCCCCACCAACAACACATAGTATTGCATGCATCGGCGCGTCGCGTATCAAAAACTAGGATGACACATTTGGCTACGCATCGACGCATAATGGCGGCCGAAGCGTAGCGATGTGTAGCCTTGCGCACGCGTATGCGTACCGATGCGTTGACTATGTAAGGGCCCTAAGTTGTTCTATAACAGATGAACGTTGCTCTGCATACGTCATCTCCTTCAGCGCTCTGATTGGTTTTAGGTCTATCCAATTGCGCCCAGAGGCATTTGAGCTATGTCCGTTGGTGACGCACCTTTGGAAATGATTTGTCTATGAAGCTTTGCCAGACCATAACTCAGTTACAACTGAGAATGGTCTGGTTTTAACCAGGCTAAGGTTGCCTATGAAAGCCTGTAGACAGAATTTTTTGTAAAGGACGTTTTTGCCTGAAAAAAGGATGTGACGTGTACTCGTGAGAGCTATTTTTTATTGTAAAGTCAATGTTTAATGCCAAGAAAAGGGATTGATCCAAACTATAGTCTCACATAGCCAGATCTATCTAGTCTCAAATATATTTTATAATCAAACTATCATAAAACTGTAATTTTAATTACCTCATCTGTTGACATTATACCAGTGAATTGCAGAGCTGGTGCAAACATATTCACATTGCTATGATCAGATCTTAACTGCTGCTTTCTCACCGTTGTTATTTTTGTTGTGTTTATTTTGCTACTGAGAGGAAAGCGTGTAGTACACATTTACATATTCATGTAAACGTCGCTTTTTAAAAATAAAATGTAAAATATCCATCAAGATCATCATAGAATCTCTAGTAGAGTTATTCTAGTTGACTGGATGCATGCATATAAATAAAAAAATAAACATTTAATTTAAAGAAACAGAAATTAAAAATTTAAAGAAACAGCTGAAATAAACATGGTTCTTTAGAATACTTGACTGATTGGTCATTTGGAGCATATATTGGTAAAGTACTTTTGCATAATGGCCACTAAACTGTAAGATTTTTTATTTTTCATTGGGGTCCAGATCGCCCTATCCAGACTTGCGATAATGACTGGATGATGGTACATTATTATCATTTACTTGACAATTATAGTGAGAACATCTCTAGAAAGTCTAGTGAGTAAGTTCTGAGGTTACGGGAAAGAAGCCACATAGGAACAACTGAATAGCACTCAGAGACCACAACTCGCCAATGGAATGAGTGAGACTGAAGGAAAAAGGAGGACACAAAGGAAAAAAAACGAGAATAAAGTTGGAAAGAAATTTTAGAAGCATAGACAAAAGTGGAAAGCACACTTTTGTGCTTACAGAACAGCACCTTATTCAATATTATATAACCCAGTTCTTTGCATGCACACACATCGTTTATAAAACATTAGGGCATTTTTCAGATGTTTATTGTGGCACAGACATTGCCTAAATTTCACAGCCCTCTCCATCAAACTCAAAGTGACTGAGATACATCTACAGGAAAGGAGCACTTCTCTTACCGTTTGTTTCACACGGCCTTCTCAGTGGTGTGAGCCTAAAACCTGAAGAAAGAAACACTGAGAATTACAAAGCAGAAAAGAAAACACAAAATGCACAAAAACCCCAATATAGCATGTGTGTATAAAATATAAATAGATCCTCAGAATATGCATATAATTATAATTCCTAACATTTTGTCTGAACATGCATTGTCGTTTTGAATGAAAGCATCTGCTAAATTGATAAATGTAACTCATGAGGGTGTGTTTTGTTCTCCAGGCCTTGTTCTATCAAAGCTACTTTCTAAACATTTGAGGTAGGTGCACATTCCTCCACAATCCCAAAGACATTGTGAAAGACTGTGTGGATGCCGTCTCTTACATCCGTCTGATGGTTGGTGACTCAGTCTGTGTTTTTCCCTCTTGCTCCTCTTATTATCCCCATTAGTGCATGTGCTTTGCTCTCTGTTTTTGCCGTGTGTGTTGATATGAGCATGTGTTAAATTGTGGCTAGTCTTCTCTAACTGCTGGCTTCTCCTGAATCGATCCTCAACCTCTTGTAGCACCAGGTGAAAGTCACACTGAAACCTGCAGCTACGCAACACGGCGCCAAATGAACGACTGTCCATCTCATTCATATGTTTCACACAACCTGGGAGATGGAAAAGGTGCATGCGTGTGCATGTGACAGCATGGATAAAATTAATATTTGAGACAAAAAGATCAATAAGAGTACTAAGGAACCAGAAAGTGGGAGAATGTATTACTTTTGTTATCTAATGTGTTGTTTGTTTGCATTTATACAGACACACACCTGCACAGCGTAGATTGCTGGGTTTAGTGGGAGAGGGCGGCTTCAGAAACCTGTTAATTTCTCTGTCTAACAGCTCAGAGCACAGCGACATCTCATCTAAAAACAGAACGCAGCACAAATTCATTATCTAAAACATCAAATGAACGGCAAACAACTTGATCACTAAAATAAATCAGTAGGTTTTCTGTGATTTAGCACAAAGAGAGTGTGATGTTTTAAGAAAGATTTACCATCTGAGAGAGGTTGCGTGCACTGGTTTCTCTTCATGGGATCAGGATGTCTGAAAATATCTGGGCTGAAACCCAAGAAAAATAAAACAGAGAGAAATGTCACTCCCTCGAGGAGGAAAAATTTACTGACTCTGTCTTGAAAAGTCATTGACATGAAATGAAATGCTTTATGTGAATCTGGATTTAATGTGAATATTCTAATCATGAATAAAACAACTAGGAATGAGGAAAGCAAGAATCTGTACCACATTTTCTTGCAAAAACAAAAAATCTATTTGTTTACATTTTCTGGCCACAAGTGTACAATATATTTTGTAAAAGACATTGGTTTGAACTCTTTATTTGTCAAATTATAATAATAAAGTGTATGTATCAAGGAAACCCGTAATAGTAAAACTCATTCATTTACCCCCGTGTATCTCTGCCGCCCCTTGTTGGCGTGCTGCAGTGCTGGAGACGTTTGTTGCCATCAAGATCTGAGTCCAAATTCATCATCTTTAATCTCTTCGCCACTCTTTCAGACTTCATTTTCCACTCCATGTCTCTCTTTTTCACAACTCTCTCTCTCCTCGTCTCCTGGTTGTCACTCCTCTCAATATTCCTCTCATTCTCTCTCATTTGTTCATGCTCTCTTTCTTTGCTCTGTCCCCAGCTAGAGCCTCTGAAGTGAGTGACTTGGGCAGGACTCAAACACTCTTCAGAGCTGACACACTGCTGTTCACATACATAAACACACAATTTTATGTTGTTAAAACTGCTGATGCAGAATACTCAATAATATTTACACATTACTATAAGTTGTATGTGTTTACATGTGATTCTCACCAAGCTCTCTTGGTCGTACGGTATTTCATTTGTCATTGGATGTTCAAGAGTTCCTGCAGGAGACTCACATACTCGATGATGAACTTTGACCTTTTGCATCACAGGGCCCTCCCACATTGCCTCATTACATTCCACAGATGAGGCCGACCTCTGCATGCTGTGCTGCTGGCTTTCAATGGCTCTTTCCCACAGTTTCACACCCATCTGAGAATCAAAATACAAAATTAGGCTTATAAAGTTAAGAGTAATAAGAATTAAGAGTAATAAGTATGTATTCATAGCACACTCTTCCTTTACCATGAAATGTTAAAAGTAAAAAAATAAAAACCTAAAGTGCTCTGTGGTGCTCTGAAATGCTTAGTCACATTCTGTCTTGGGTGTCTTATCATGTTATCAAATCTGGTTAAAGTAATTTTGACAAAATAACAAAAGAATGTTCTCCGAGGTGTTAAAGCTTAAAAGGGTATCTTCTGTTAAAAACACCAAAATCTGTCTCATCCACATTATAATATGACATTTACAGGTATGCAGTATGCACAATAGCCGTGACAACTTGGTGAAAAAATATACATTTACAAATACCTTTTTCTCTAGATGCTGTATTCTCTGGAGGATTTCTCCAGCTGAACGCAAGTGTCTCTCTTTGTCACTCTCCTGCAGATCCATACTGGACATGTCTCCGCCTAATGATTCAGCTGGGTGGGAAAGGGAAATAAATGTCCAATCCTCATGAGCCAAAGTTTAATAGAAGCAAGACATTAAAGACCCTCTGTGGTGAAAATTAAGTTTTTAATGTTGTTAATATGTCTGTGTGGTGTTAGAAGGCACCCGTCTTACTCTGAGATGGCAAATGGGAACATGGTTTGTGTTTACTGTTATGTGTCCACTTTTATTCTAATTCTGAATAGATTATATATATAGTCTAGAAAGCCCGGTAAGACAGCTCCCTCTATAATTACTAAAAAGCTGTCACTCATCTCAGTTTGCGATCTCACAAAGTTTCGTTATATTCAATGTCTTATAGTCAATGTCTACACTGCACAATGAATCTCTTATTTACATCGTGTTACCACTTCGCGAGGGAGCTAAGTACCCTCAAACGAATACAAGAGCACTGTAATAGTTTTTAACCACAAAGCATGATGACATTGTGTAAGCTTTAGAAACATCCGTATTCTCCTTGCTTTCAATTCCTCACACACACTTACACCACTTGAACCTTCCATAAAATAATCTTTCATAAAATTTGGAAAGGTTGTAGCGAATTACAAGAACATTCACAGGCTTCATTGCACAGGATATGCGCTATGAGTAACCCGCGCACTCTCGCCCTGTTATTTTCCTTACAAAAAAGAATGTAAACACAATCAATTGTGTCTTAAGGGATTTAACAGACAGGACATCTTATATTTCAAAAGAGATCTGTGCATTAGTGTGAATGCAGCTTATTAGATCTCCCGCTGTCTATGATGCCATCAGTAATAATCAAACAGTAAAGCCAGAGAATGTCTAATTGAAAAGAATTGGCACTGTCTGGTTACTTCCGCTTTCTGGACTGGCTGCAGTAACACGTCTCTGTCCATGCGGGGGCGCTCGCAGGCGAGTGCAGAATGAATGGGAGTCTATGGGGTTTCACCCCCAGAAATCCACTTTTCTCAGGATGTAATTTTTTGTCAAGTAATTTGAAAGTTGCATTCAAAAGGGAGGGCTAAGATAATACACTCAGCTGAAAATTGCATTTTTAAGTTCACTTATCTGTTCTAAAAATCCGTTCAAAAATGTGATGACGTCACATAATAGCAGAATGCTAGCGTGCTCCGTCCAACAACGGCCTAACCTGTAAGAAATCGAAAGGACATAAGTACTCGTTCATTCGACTTTTGGCCTATAATCTATATTGAACTTGCGGAATCAACAATAAAATCTATGTTGATTCAATGACAAGCAGGAGAAAGAGATACATTTAGCCGTTTAGCTCCATAGACTCCCATTCATTCTGCACTCGTCCGCGATCACCTCCAGTGGAATTCTAATGGAACTGCAACCAAGATGATACACAATGGGGCTAATAGGAAGTGCCAAGGCTCTCCGTTAGACGGGCTCTGGTAAAGCTGAGAAAGAGAAAAATCACTCACTGCTCTTGAATGGAAAACGTTTAGATATAGCCTACTCTAAAATACTGAAAGCGCCCCTGTTTATTGCTTTTAATATGTTTCTTTGTTCCTCTTTATTATTTAATGCTTGCTTTTAAGTTTTGAAGCTATATTAGTTTTAAGTGATACAATTTTTGGCTTGTAGGGGGACTTTAAGAGAAGAGGTATGTTTACCAAGTGCTGCTGTGTGATATGATGCACCTGAAGTTAATAGCATATCATCACCACTGCAATAAAGGCAGTCTATTGTATTTGTATTGTCCTGAATAAGGCTTTCTCAGTATTTTATTTTCAGGTGTGTTCATGAAGACATTTATTTCCATTTTTATAAAAAAAAGTTTTTTTCACTACATATTTCTTTGTTCCCTGCATGCTAACTTCTGCATGCTACTACTAGTGATGATGGGTAGTTCATTTTGTTCTTCTTTTTTTTTTAACAGACAGACATACAGACCAAAATAGTGCAGTAACGAACAATCTAGCAATTCCATAATTCCAGAAGTGAAATAAAAGTGTGTAAATGTATAGGTGTGTGTGTGTGTGGGTAGGTGTGTGTGTGGGTGGGTGGGTGGGTGTGTGTATGCATGAGCAAAGTAACCATTTATTATTTATTACCATCATCATTACCATCACCACCACCCCTCCTCACCACCATCATACTGCTAACATTGTATTAGTCAATTTTTATTTTTATTCTTATTTCCATCTTTCCTCCTATGTAACAATTACCATTGTCAGCACTCTCCAAAAATAAAAGATACTATAATAATATAATATAAGATAACCCTCCCCCACATCTCTTCAGTCCCTATTTTAAAAAAAATTTTGTATGTTATGTGTAGTGTCTAAGGTGCATTAAAAGAAGGGGTACAGTGTCTCAACTTGGGACAGAGATGCTGTCCCATGGAAACCACTTCTCGCCTGTCTTGCCTTGAGTGTTTATGAGGTTTTTCAATGTATATACACACACACACACACACACACACACATATATATTAGGGGTGTAACGATACACGTATTCGTATTGAACCGTTCGGTACGAGGCTTTCGGTTCGGTTTTCGGTACGCATTTTTGAACCGAACGGTTCGTTGGACCATTTTTCCTGCCGACCAAAATTTCGTTATTTCAAATGAAGGCGCGTCACGCGTGGCAAGCGCGCTCATAATGTGCGTGACCACAACATTGCCCAACATCAAATGGCAAATGTAATGTAAGCGGAACGAAATCACTCGTTATTGTGTGGTTGAAGGACCGTTTATCAGTTTGGACAAATACAGCGCGAGCCGATCTTAATCATCAGCACTGTTACTACACAGCCAAATCCAGTAAAGAAAGCATTTGAATTCGCCACTGAAGTAATAACATCGCTGCAAGATCTAGTGAGAAACATTCGCATTTCTCCGTTATTAACGGATCAAACAGCGCTGACGTGGAAACCAGGAAGAAACATTGTGCCATGAATCATGAATGAACTATCCAGTGTCCACACAGATCAGCAACATTCACCATGGGTTTACTGTAGTAACACTACTAACTGTAACCATGGAAGTTTGGCAGGAATAGGCTATATGCTTTCAAGTAACATCACGTCGGTTTTATTTTGACATTATGAATACAATTGCTGCCCTCAAATGTTAATCTGAACTAAAATAAACCTTTGTTTATAACTACAACAATATTACATTTAATTTTGTCCAAGGAGCTGTTTTGTTTTATAAGCTCCTAAGAAAAGTCAAGTATAGCTCCATCATTGCTCAAAGTTAAAAAATATCATACTTTATGATGTTAGTTTTAATAAAAATATAATTAAAAAGATTAAATCAAGGAAATTTCTCTGGCATTTCTTTCTTTTTGCTGTATCGGAAACGTACCGAATCGTACCGAAACGAACCGTGACACAAGTGTATCGTATCGAACCGAACCGTGAATTTTGTGAACCGTTACACCCCTAATATATATATATATATATATATATACACACATCTTTTTTTTTCTATTCTACGTTGTGGTGCAATTAAAAACACATGAAAAGATTAGGGGGCAATTAACCATAGCAGTAGTGATAACAATAAACACCAGGTTAGTAATTCCAAAACAGCACTAACAATAATAATGATAATAATAATAAAAGTTATAATGATGATAATGATGATGGCAATGGTGACAGCAATGATGAGAGCAACGACAATAACAACAGCAATTACAACAATAATTAAGATAAAAATAGTAATCATAACAGTAACAGTAATGATAATAATAACAATGATGACAAAAATAACAAAAATGCAGTAATATTCGTAGGTTGATTAAAAAGGTGGGAGGAGTCGGAATTTTTAACAACTGTAATCTTTTATATGACTCTGGAATAGAGGGTATGCGCATGACGTCACCGTTGGCCGGAGTGAATGCGGTCACGCCCACAAGTGGCAAAAAGACTGAGCGGCAGCATTTGTTCCCTTTCAAGGCGGTCACTTCGACATTTACGTCGATGACGTAGTATGGGAACTCCTCCCCTTCTTCACTTCTGCTGAAATCTTATGGGCTAACGCCAGCTGGAGACAGCTGGCCAATTGACGCAAAATATGCAAATACTGACACGCCTGCTGGCAGTATAAATTGCATACGCACGTCAATTGCATCAGAATCCTTTTCTTCACGCTCAAATCGACGTGTGCTTCGAATTGGAAAATACTCTACAAAAACTCGCCATCGTCGAAGGTGCATCTAAAGATACCTCACTGTCTTTGGCATCCGATGGCATCCATCTGCAACTTGTGCTCGGGGCCTATTGTGGCGCCCGACACCCACTTGTTCTGCGTCGCCTGCATGGGCCCGTTACGTGCGCATGCCGCCCGTCGAGGAGACCGTCGCCACTCACCTGTGCCCATCGACGTCTGCACTGGGCGCGGACCGCAGCCTGCCGTCCAAGCCCTGCAGGTTCACGGCCCACCAAGCGGATAAGGCGTACGGAGCGGCAGGAGAGGCAGTATCAGCTCTCCACGCCATGGCTATTCTACAGGTGTTCTAGGCGAAGTTGCTTAAGTCCCTGGATGGCGTCGCCTCTGTTGACGCTGACGTCATCCGGGATCTCCGCTCAGCTACGGACCTTGCGCTGATGGCCACCAAACGCTCAGCGCAAGCCATTGGTCGCTCCATGGGTTTTCTGGTCGTCCTCCACAGACACCTGTGGCTGACGCTGTCTGATGTCAAGGATTCCGACCGGAAAACCTTGCTTAATGCTCCCATCACCCCAGCCGGTCTCTTTGGGAACGCGGTGGAGGCTGTCACGGAGCGTTTCTCGGAGACCCAGAAACGCGCTAAAGCCATGAGCCACGTGATCTCGCGTCGAGCGCCCCCGGCTCGTCAGCGTTCGCGCTCGTCATCGGCTACCCGGAGCCAGCCCCAGAGCTCGGTGAGACAATCGGCGGCGCCTCGCACCGAGCCGGATGCTCGCGCTTCCCGGGGCAGACAGTGGCCGGGACCCGGGAGAAAGAGCCAGGGCCAGAGAAGGAGTCCACGCCGAGGGAAGGTCAGCGCGCCC